GCCGTGCCGCAGCAGGCCCCACGCAAGCAACGGCAGTGCCAGCATCGCGCTGCAGGGTCTGAGGCTGCCTGGAGCGGCCCACGCTGCTCAGCCTGCATCACCCATAGTGGTACACAAAGTCATAGCTGCTCGGCTCTTTAGGGATAGGGGGTGGTGCTTCAGGGATCTGGATATTCTCCAAGTCCAGGAGTCTCAACTTCATCTCCATGCTCAGCAATGTGTCCAGGTCAGTCTTGGTCAGCTCACTGGACATGTCCTTCCCCAAGAGTGCATTAAGCCCATCAATCCAGATACAGTACTGTGGAGAAGAAGGATAATTTGTAACTCCAGGCATAAACCATAGGTTATGTTGAATCTTTCCATCCATGCAAAAAATAGAAATACTCCAATACAGCTCCAAAATAGGTAACATAGGAGAGAGTTAACCCAGGGGGGAAAAAAAACTGCCCACAAAAATTTCCAATACAAGTTAGAAACCCAGAGGTAAGCATGACCCCAGGCCTCTAATGAGGGGGCCAGGAATTCGTATTATGGCAAAACAGCAGAAAAGGCAAAACAATTTTAGGCATCAGTGACTCATAGAACGGGGAAGAATGAACAACCAACTTCATAAGAGGAAAGAAACTAGCAGCCCAGACTGAGGAAAATTAGTGTAGGAATTTGTTAAAACAGAAGGATAACTGAGAAAAAGGAAGAGTCACACAAAGCATCAGCAACAATTTCTAAGAAAGAAACTGGTGGAAGACAGCCTGCTCAAGCCTTTAATGAGAAGCAGCTGATCCTTCTTAGTGTACAAGTCCACTGTTAATTGCTTGACAGTCTACTGCTCAACCGCTGTCTTTCTTACCTCATATTTATTAGGTGCAATGAAGTTCAAGGTCTCATCAGGATCATATAATATCGAGAAGGCCAATTCTAACACTTCCTGAACGGAAAAGAATATTTCACTCATTGACTGAAAGCATCACAGCATCTTCTACCTACTAACCCAACAAGAGCAGTTGCCTAGCTGCAGCTCAGCGCACTTTCCCAAATCAGTATTCCTAGCAACTCTGAGTGGCCTACAGCACAATAGGGCTATGCTCACAGTACCTACCAACCACAGACTGGTACTGGGAAATGTCCCAGATATGAGATTTTTGTAAACAATACACATGAGAAGTTGCAGTGCAGAAAACTGTGGCTTGCTTCTACTGTCTTCAACCATATAGTGCTAGGCATTATTTATAGGCGAAAAGGGAGCAGTTACCTTGTTCTGTTTCAGTGCACTTTTCTCCTTCATATGTGGACAATCCTTCCCTGTGACAATGGCTTTGATGTCCGCAACTGGAACTAAAAGTGAAAAAGCGAGTGTCACAAACAGGAAACCCTAACCAGGAAGGGATAGAACTCGCTTTGTCTTTTCAAGTATTGTCCCTGCTTTTGTAGCCCGTTACTGGACTTTTACAAAACATATTACCAGTAACATCCCTACAGCTGGCTGTTATAAGAAACACCAAACAATTGCCAAGACTCACAAACAATTTGTGCAGGGACTAAAAAGTGACCTTATCGCAGTCTGGCTTCAGCCGCTTCCTCTCTGGGACTGGTACTAGTAACAGCCTCTAGATGGCAGAGCACAGAACACTGCACAGTGCGCTCACAGCCGTAATCTGGACTTACTTTTTTCCTGCAGTGATTCAAAGGTCACTTCCCCCTGAGCATTATCTTCCAGATCTCCATAGTGTAGCACCTTGTGATTCAGAGCCAGGCGGCAATACCAAAATCTTTCTGGAACACATAATAGTAGCACAAACTGAACAAGATCATTCACATAAGGTCTTACAGCCACTGCATTATAGTCTCCCCATCCAATCCTTCCATTCCCCCAACTCCTCAGCATTGCTTCCTGTTCACGGGGGGATGTCTGTATCCTTAAAAGTGCACACCTGTTCTATCCCAAACTACTGGCTAGTACAGCCAGCCAAGGTAACCAGCTTCCCTTTCTAGCAACATGCCAGCTCACAGGTTAATCCACCGCATCTTATTTGCCTTCAGTTCTTCACACAAACTGCAGAAGACAGTATCACCTTACCTTGTCTTCTGCGATTTCCAACTTTTCGAAAGCTACTCCCCTCACAGAGCCTGTTCAGGCGCTGTTGTTTTATCAGCTCCAAAATCTCAGGCTGGATTTTTCAGCACAGAAAGCAACTGTGCCTGTTAGGCACTTACACAATGGGTGGTGACTGGAAGTCATCCTGGCTCATTCTCTCAGACTGTCGTAATCGCAGAATCTCAGAATAGCTCAGGCTGCGCAGTTTGCTCTTGAACTGGTCCAAGGAGTTGGGTTTGGAGGGGAGAGCCCGTGTTATCTGTTCCCTCACAACCTGCATAACCTAAAGAGGTTGGACAGGGACAAAAGCAAGTCACTTTCTTGCTGTTTAATGGAAGCAGAGAACCGCTGCAGAGCTCAGTAAGCGACCTCAAAGAACAGGTAATAAATGACTGCGGCCAGGAATGTCAACCTACTGATGTCTTTGAAGACCCAGAAGAACAAAAAAATGACCACAGGTCATACCAAATAAAGGTTGGACCATCCTCCTTTACAGCCCCAGTCAGTATCCTGTCATACCTCTTGCCCCTTACTCTCTACAAAGCATAGAGGTTGACTGAACACATTCTGTTCTGTAAAAGGTTCTGCCCAGACACCTCTCCTTACTCTGACCTTATTAAAATCTTCTGCTGTCGCCCTCATTTCTTTCCAGGTCTTGTTCAACAGCTGGATGCAGATGGCAAACAGCTCCTCAAATGCACGGTCATGCGTGAAAAACATGGGGTGATAGTCATTCCGGCCTTCATTGGCTTCAGGAAGAAAGAGAAACCATAGCCATCAGAGCAAATAACACAAGAGCTACTATGAGTAACTAAACCCACTGCAGTGACAAGAACCTGAGAGTATGCAAGAGTACTAACTCAAAGAGATGAAGACAATTCACAGACAGTCCATGCTGGGGATGGCAACTATCCCCAGGCTTCACCATGCAAGCCTCTCCTACTGATGTATGTTCTTCAGACTAGTCCCCCAAACGACTGCTTGCCGTTGTTTTGGGCTTTCCTCTGGTAGTACTTCTTATAGTGGCTAAGTGTCTCAGAATGCTGCTTTGAGGCTGTCAGAGCTATTTAACTTTTCTCAAGTTCTTAACAGTTTCTAGGGTGTTTTTCATACAGTGCCCTGATGAAGCTTCAGGAGAGGGCTGAAGCTTGCCTCAGATTTTAGGGAAAGCAAAGTCCACGCAATGACATTCCTTACTTCAATACTGGTTCTACCAATGGCACACTGACAGCACAACTCCAAGCTCCCTGTCCTTACAGGGCAGAAATGAGACTGATATACAAATGCTTGTCAATCTCAGGCATTGTGTAAGCTACTTCAGGAAGCATCAGCCCAACAACTTGGAAAGCTGGGAGTAACAAATGGTACTTACGGAGTTCCCCAACTTGCAGGATCTCACAAAGCATTCTGGTAAGCTCAATGGCACTGCGCCCAAAAGGACATTCGTGCTTATCTTCTCGACTGCTGTTCTCCAGAACAATCTACAGAAAGAGGATGCAACACACAGCCAGAGCTGCTGAGGTGTTGGCACCTGCAAAAAGTAGCAGCTTCACTTACTCTGATATAGGTGTCCTGATGAAATTTGGCCAAGTAGAGCATGTTGTCCAATGCCAGCATCCCTGGAGGAGTCTGAGTAAAATCCATTGCTGGATTGATGTGATTCTGTGAAAAGAACACGCAGAAATAACCCAAGCCAATTAGTCTCAAGAAATGGTGAGAGAAGCTTTTCTGAATGAATCTTACATCTGTCTGTCCCTCAAGCACTCCTTCACATCTATCCAAGTGGCAGACTTGATACCTGTTGACAATGCTATCCAAACTTTCTGGAAGATAGGCTGATTCTGAGTTCCTCACAAAATAGTTGTGCGTGGTACATAAATACCTCCAGAGAATGTGCCTAATGAGCCCTGCGATTTAACCAAACAGCAAGTTCACAATACTGTCCCCTGGAGGTTTGAAACTCAGCTATAGAAGTATGATGAAGGAAACGGCTGCTTCAGTTCCTGTTTTCCCACCATTCTGATGGAGATTCCTTAGTTTGCCTTTATATGCTCT